AGGAAATATAATAAATGTATAATAATTTTATAATAATTTTAAAGTTATAACATAAATAATGTACCTACTATTTTACTACAAGATCTCGGTCAGAGCATAGCTTTAAGAACAATATAATTTAAAGTTGCTGCGAAATTCTCGGAACAAACTTCTGCAGTCTCTACAGGAAATAGTGTTCTGATTTACTCTATTAAACTTGAAATAACTATGAACTTGTACAAACGGATTTTCATAGAATCTTGTCAAATGTAAATTCAGTCATTTCCTAAACATTTAAAGAAACCAATAATTATAATAAATTAAAGAAATTAATTTTTTTTTAAAGACAGTTGATTCAAAAAAATCTAAATTTATCTAATATAAGTTTTGTTCTAGTATAAGTTTTGAATAAAACTGATTTTATTGAATGTTACTTTCAAACATAATGTTGTCTATTACATATTTTTTCATAAAGAGTCCCTCTTTCTCCATGAAGTCGGCAAGCTGCTGGCCCCATAGGTTCCGTTGCCCTATTCCAAATTTTCCTACCTTCAGCTCACCGTTCTCTCTTGTGCCTAGTTTTTCGTTGAAGTCTTCCATTAACACATTATAGTGAGTTTTGGAGGAATGCGTAGCTCTAAATATATCCTCCTAATATACATTTCCTTCACCTCCTCATCGGGATGTGCCGTGTTTGATGCGTAAACTTGTATGACCTTCAGCGAATATCATTTGGTGATTCTGAGTATAAGGTACGCAACTCTCGTAGACACATTCGTGCTACAACTATAATATAACTTTATACTGTCTACCAAGTATTATAGCTGTAACGTGGCTCTAACATATATTATAGTTGTAGAGTAGCTCTACCAAGTATAAAACGTAGCTCCTACTCTTACATCTTAATAGCGTAGTTAAAGGTCATTTTTTAACAAAGTTCTCATGTCTAGGATACAGAAATCCACCTCATGTTGTGGCAGTTATGATTAAGTGTCCTTAATTGACGTGAGAACTATTTACAGCAATGGATGGATGTTTTAAATGGCTCTCAGAATATATAATAATACCTGGACGGAAATTGAAATTCATTGACTATGTTTCCAATTCCATGGTAGCTCTGGGGCTAAGCGCTCTGTAAATTTCACAGTACGCGAGCAACCCAGGTTCGATCCCCGTCGATACCAATTAAAATTTTTAATTGCAATTTTAAGTTTTACCATTTGTGGCGAATTGACTCTTGGACAGTATCCAACTCTCTCGGAAAATACTTTTATCCTACCTCTTACGAAAGTATCTAATCCTACGTTGCCAAACCATCTACGTCCCTTATCTATCTTGCCATTTCTGTCTAAAGTTTTGGAAGCCTGTGTTTATAAGCTCCAATTTTATATCTCAACATAACCTACTGAGTGCTTATTGGTCTAGGTTTCGTCCTGGTCACAGCAAAACTACAGCATTACTTAAAGTTACCGAAGATATCACACATGGTATGGAAAATAAGAAATTTTGGTGCTTGTTGACTTTTCTAATGCTTTTAACACGGTTGACCACGATATGCTACTGCTCATTCTTTCTCATTTAAGACTTGCACCTTCAGAATTGGAGTGGTTTGCTGCTTATCTTCACGAGCGTCAGCGGTCGCTTCATTTAGGGCAAGAGTGCTCAATGTGAACTGACCTTGAAACTTGACTTTAAATTTTCTCAGTTTTTATAAACTTCATCACTTCTAATTTCAACTGCTCGTACCATTTGTACGCTGACGACACATTATCGACGAACTATCGACGAACTTCATAACGCTATTACGAATTTAAATAAACACTTAATAGCTGTTAGTGAATGTTCGAGGCACTTTGGTGTCGCTGTCAACCCAAAAAAATGGCAAGCTATACTTGTGGGTAGTTCGAGAATGCTGTCTAAGATAAATCTATCACATCTACCTTTAGTTTATTACAATTACATATTGATAACATTTTTGAACTCTGTGAAAAATCTAGGCCTGTACTCGTACATAGATATTACATTAAAATGGGATATACATGTCACTGAAAGCAATCGCAAAGTCTTTGTCAATTTACGGTCTCTCTACCGTCTAAAGAATTTTCTACCTGTCAACACAAAGATCATGCTTGTACAGACACTTATTTTAGCCATTGTTACCCAGATTTGGACCAATATCTTCTCAACAAGCTAGAGCGTCTCCTTAATAATTGCATTGGATACGTATATGGGTCTCGAAAGTATGATCATATTTCTTTATTTCGTAATCGGCTTAAATGGCTCGCAATCAAACAGAGGCGCAGTTTTTAAATTCTGTTTGTTCTCTTTTCCATATTAAACAACCCAGCTTCTCCTTTATATCTTAAGGAACGATTTAAATTTATTTTTTCAACTCATGACAGAGTTCTACGGTCCTCGTCTAAGCATAAAATTAGCTTTTCAACGCATTTCACTGGATTCTTCAGGAAATCCTTCACTGTTCAGGCTACTCTATTCTGGAATTCCTTACCCAAAGACATACGAAAACCTCCAAGTAAATGCTCGTGAACACTTTTACAAAACATGATAAGAATGATTTCTTGTTATATGCATATAATATATATATATATATATATATATATATATATATATATATATATATATATATATATATATACACATATGTATATGTATTATTTATATTGCTTGTATGTTTATGTAATTTTTTTATATATTTGTATTTATATTCATATATTTTGTATTAATATACGTATTTTTTTTCTGGATATCAAAAATAAGTATATACGTACACCTGCCACAATAGCTCACCCCGCTACGGGTTGACTGGCAGAGAATGCTGACAGGCAGTAAGTCCGCCCATTGTTACCTTAGTTGTAAGGTGTTACAATAAAGAGAATAAATAAAGTTTATACTTATACTCAATTTTTACAAATCAAAATGCACTTAGTTTCTTAAGAAATATTTTAATTTACTAAAATTTTAATCGAAATCTTTGAAATCTGTTAAGATATTTGCTTTACGTATACATTACAATTCAAGTACGTTTGAAACTAACGAATTTGTGTTTTCAGCCTTAGAACGCTTCTAGTGTAAGTTGTGCTTCAAGCCTGAATACATTCTGCGTTGGTTTTTATAGTAATCCACAGTTTTAATTTGAAAAAAAAAATGCAACGCCGTTCCAACCTGCCTAATTAGGCTCCATTCAAAACTTAGTTTTTAGGTCACGTTGCAAAAAGTTGCAATACTTGTCTAGTAAATTACTTCTAGTATTTTTTTATTTACAAATACAGCTTCAGCTCTTCGGGCTTACATAAACTGATATATTTATATCCTTTTTATATTTCTATTATTTTGAACTGATTGAAATTATTATTATAAAATTTTTAGACCTAATATCTGCTGTTTTGTAATTTGATTGAAAAAGTTTTCAAAAAAAATTGTATTTGGCGGTATATAAAATTTATCTGCTCTTCTTACGGACGAATCGATACTCGTAGTTGATAGATATCGGATGTAAATCAAGAAAACTTTATATGATAAACCGATTCAGCGTTTTGGCAGGATCTACTTTTTTTATAGAATAAGGGTGACAAACGGGCACACAGTCCATCTGAAGGTAACTGGATGCTGAGACCCATAGACCTCTAGATTTATACTCAATTAAGAATTAAAATGCAGATGCGTTGTCACCCTTGAGTACTGAGATGGTATACCTCGTTTCCATTAAAAGGGTCTCCGGTTCTCTACACTCATTATACGAAACACACCAGCATTAAGTTGATATTTTACGCTGGTATTCTATTCTGTGAGAGCGTTGTCCTACCCTGGACGAGCAAATCAGTTCGTGCTGCAGCCATAATGTAGCTGCAGCATGGCTCTACCATGTAAAAAAACTTTCTACTACTTTTAAAAGTTCTGCATGTTTTGTTATATGTATATAATCAAAATATTTTGCCAAATATTCTTAATAATCAAAATAAAAACTAAAACCAGTCCTGTCTCACTCCACCCTTTAGGCATGAAAATACACATATGCTTCTCGGCCGCCTACTAGAGGATTATTCAGTGAGGTTATCACACGCGCGCTCGATTTGACGCGCAATGAGTTGCAGCGCTAAAGTATTGGTTTCCTCCAAAAGCGGTGGCGTCATAAGACGGACGCAATATGATGGCCGTAAAAAGACGGGAATGTTGCAGACTTCGACGGCCGTCTTATGACAGAGAACAGACCACAAAGTGTCAACGGTTGCAAATGGACGACATTGATTTAGCGTTACTCTTATATTTAGAAGATGAGCAATCATCAGAAGACAAAAATATTCGTATGGGTGAAAGTGATTTAAACAAAGCTCGTACTACTGAAACTTAGAAAACTTTGAAATTTTAGTACGTCGTCGTCTGCACTGCAATGACGATAAGTTTAGGGAATACTTTCGTCTTACACCAATCTTATTTGAATATGTATTAAATCATATAAAAGATGAATTAAGTTATAATCCCAACAACAGTCATCAACAGCCAATATGTCCGAAACAAAAATTATGTATACTTATTAGGTAAGTCTATAAAACAAAAACAACATATTTTTAATGTACATCTTTATTGAAATTGAGTGTTATCCATTCCAGGTTTTCCTTTTCGTCGAATGTAACAGTCCCGAACATAGGCACCATCTCATGTTGCCATCAGTATCTGCAAGAAATTTTATTTTAATAATAACAATATTTTTCATTACAGACACTTGGCTACAGGCGAGTCTTTTCGGTCACTTGCGTTTCAGTATCGAGTATGTCATAGCTGGATAAGTGACATAATAAATGAAGTCAGTGCGGCCATTGTCCAGAAATTGTTCCATTTAATTATACCATCGCCAACGGAATATGAACAAAAAATATCAGTGGCCAATATTTATCCAAATGGAATTTTCCTAATAGCGTGGGTGCGATTGATGGTAAACATGTCAGATTGAAAGCTCCCAAAATAGCGGATCGTTATACTATAATTACAAGGAATATTTTTATATGGCTTTGCTAGCAGTTGTCGATGCGAATTATAAATTCATTGACGTTGGTTCTTATGCCAGAGAAGGCGATGCTGGCATTTACTTAAAAAGTAATATAGGGAAAAACATAAGAAATAATACATTCAATATACCTGCGCCAAAAGCCCTACCCGGAACAAATAATATTGTACCACATGTTATATTGGGAGATGAAGCTTTTGCTCTTCATGAAAACCTGATGAAACCCTATCCAAGAGAGCAATCAATACATGATTCATCAAAAGCTGTATGTAACTACAGGTTGTCTCGACCTCGAAGAACCACTGAAAATGTATTTGGAATTTTATGTGCTTACTTTAAACTGTTTTTCGTACCTATTGCTACTAATCCAAAAACAATAGACAGACTAATAGTAAGTGCATGTATTCCACATAACATATTACAAGAAACAAAAGTACTAGCTCCTGGTAAAAAACATGTTGATGAAAGGCTTCCATTACCCGATAAAAATTTAATACCTATGGCAGAGAACAATGTTCGAGCCAGAGCTAATCCAACTCAAATTCGAGACATATTTAATTCTTACTTCAACGGCCCAGGAGCCGTTGAGTGGCAATAAAGTTATACGACACAACACTAAAGATTATAATTAACTGTAACCCGGCCTAAAAATATTAAATATAAGATTTCCATTGTGCATACTTGTTTTATTTAGCATCTCCCCGACTTCAAACCATAATTTTTGCTTCATCTGCGCCTGTCTGTAGTCTTTATGCTTTGCATTATATAATATCTCATGAATATATCTCACAAAATCAATTAAAATTTTGTCGTCCTCGCTGCTCCAGTTATGTTAGTTATGGCATTCATTTTGTACTAAAATATTTTAAAATGGCTTTACCGCTTTCGATAAAACGTTCACAAGCCACTCGACACCGACATGACGGCCTTCATGCAAATGGCGGCACTGCTTTAAGACGTTAGGTGTCAAATACCACTCTCTAGGAAACCACGCCATTTTGATTACATAGACAACGTTCTAGTGACGTCATTCATCGCTGTATTACGGCCGCTATATGACGCCACCGCTTTTGGAGGATACCAATACTGAGGGCCGCGGGTTCGAATCCCGCACGGAACATGTGAACATATGTAAACCGACCCCGCGATACAGGAGAAAATCTCAGTAGGGAGGTAACATTTTTTAAAAAGAGAGGAAGAGAGACAACTAATGAAATTAAAAATGTTGTACAACCGACTTCAATATTAATACGCATTATTAAGGATAACTCCAAAATTACTGGTCAGATCTCGATCAAATTTATATAGGATATATAAATTATAAGCACTAGATTTCAAATAAAAAAAAGAATCTTTAAAATCGGTTCATTTAAAAAGTTCTGTGGTAAAACACACAAAAAAATACAGTCAAATTGAGCACCTCCTCCTTTTGTTGAAGTCAGTTTAAAATGTAAGTAGATAAATTTTATGAGTTTCAAAGACGTTCACGTTGTTATAATCTTAATCTTTCTCGATGTTGCATATTGACCTGCCTCACATTGAACAATAATGATCTTTTATCAGCATATTAATAATACATTGCATAACACCTCGGTGTATTCTACCATTTTAAGTATTTATAAGCAATCTATGCTGATAAATACTCTAAGCTACTACTAACTATTATCAAAGGATTTAATTTGCTTTCTCACACATAACCCTACACTAGGAGCGGCCTTAACAAAGGCGCGTAACGGGTTGAGTGATACAGACTCTCGCAAGCGGAAGTAAGGTGCATTTCGATTTAATACGTACGCCGCATAAATTTTTTTATGGTTTAATCGGTAGGCTATTGTAACGGAGGTCACTTTCGAGGCGTGCAAAGTATTATGTACATTAGCGACGTTGTAACTAGACTTAAACTCGCAAGTTTGCTATCAGAGAGTGATTCTTCTGTTCTTGTAATATTATTTATTCTGTGCTAAAACACACGATACAGAATGTTGTACAGTATAAATTTATAGAATTTGTTCACGATGTTTAAGACGATTAATTCCACATCGGAATGTTTTTATTTACCCATGTTATAAATTTAATTTTATGCCTTCCTTACAAACAACAAATGGCGCCTAAGGGATTATAATCCTCAAGAAGCGAAAAACTCAGAACCCCAATTATAACTTGCTCTGCTCTTATTGTGAATTGAGGAATAAAGATTTAATAATATAATATCGTTTTTGGGTCTTTCGTTAATTATCGTCTTCTTATGGAAGATATATAACAATATTAATCATATATTATGACAATAGTACGTAACAGTATTACGTATGGGTTTGCCCAACCACGGAAAGGGTGGGCTCTCACAGAATACCAGCGTAAAATAGCAGCATAATACCGAAGTGTTCTTGTAGTGAATGACAAGAACTTATTAAACAAACACATTCCATCTTAGTTCACAGGGGTGAATGGGGGGTGATAACGCATCTGCGTTTTGATTCTTAACCGTGGTAAGGCTTAGGTGTTTATAGACCATAACACTCGCATACCATCAGATGTACTGTGTACTCATCAGTAACCCTTACTTGTTTATAAAAAGATCAAAGCTTATAGAATTCCATATTAATTACGAAAAGTACATTGGCGAGCGCGTAAGAGAATTCATAACAAATATTTTTTTTAAACGTTACATCCACACTAGGATTTTTTCCTATATCGTGGGACAGTTTACATACATAATTTTCACAAGAACTAACATTCAGACCCGGAACAATTATTTATAGACCATAAAAATACTTGTCCCGTGCGGGATTCGAACCCGCGGCCCTTAGCACTGCAACTCATTACCAAGCCACTGCGCCACAGTGCCGTCAAACAACAAGGAAATGCTATGAAGATCTTATGGTCGATCTGATAGATGGCGATGCAATTATCACGTATATTATACTAGATGTAAAATATCCTGACCGGAAAATTCACGATACCATCCAGACCATCTGGATGCTTGGCGGTCCAGCACTGTGCGGTTTACCAGGAGTTTTCTTTTTCGCACGGTTTCTTTGTGGAACCGATAACCAATGGCGACTTCTCCGGACCGGTGCAACTTAGAGACCTTCAAGAAACGGGCTTATTCCTATTTAAAAGGTCGGCAATTCCCCTGATATCGCAGTTGTTCGTGGTAGCAGTTGACACTTCGCAAGTGAGCCGCATTCTCGTTTGCTTCCACTTCCTACTATCCTACTAATCCTATCCTACTTCCTACTTTTTTTAAGGTACTTTTTTTTTAAAAACGTTACCCCCACACTTCTCGATTTTCTCCTGTATCGTGGAGGCAGTTTACAAACATATATTGAACAAGGACAAACATCCAGACCCGGAACAATTATTTGTAGGCCATACAAATACTTGTTCCGTGCGGTATTCAAACCCGCGGCTCCAACCGTTGCAACTCATTGGCAAGCCACTAAGCCACGGAGCTGTCGCGTAGTGGCTTAGCAATGAGCCTAGTAATATTATAAACGTGAAAGTTTATGAGGATGTATGGATGTTTGTTAATCTTTCACGCAATAAACTATAAAATGGATTTTAATGAAACTTTACAATTATATAGCTCATACATCAGAATAACACATAAGCTATAATTAATAAAGATATTGTGTTAATTGACCAAAATGTAACGATAAATTTAAAGTAAGTCAGAAAAGAAACTGTCTAAACACGCATCACGCAAAAACCTGTGAACCGATTTGGATCAAACTTTCACTGAAGGAGTAACTTAAGCTACTTTTATTTTAGTTTTACAAAATAGTTCCACGCGGGCGAAGTCACGGGGAATAGCTAGTCTATAATAAAAAAGACTGCTGAGACTGCTTTGGCAAATCCCACCTACTGTGAAGGTGTCCTAAATCTAGGATTGGAATGTTGTTGGTTGATAATAAAGGAAAGATAAAGAAAGTAATAAAATCTTCAACATAATTACTACCCACAACAAATCCACTCCTGAACATAGCCCTCCCCCAAGAAATACCACAAAGTAAAATAAGAAACGTTATTTAGAACTTAAGTAAATATGCTTCGAGATCATGTTATTTTGTTTATGAAATTCTAAAATAAAACAATCCTTTATCAACGGGAGTAAAATATAAAATAATAATTTAGATGTACTCACGGAACAATTTAATTAAACGTCATTTATAGGAATAGCAATATCTTGTGATCAAAGACATGCTGCTCCGGGATTAACTATTTAATCGAGATAAGTACATAACATAACATTATATATGTACATACATAAGTCTGCATTTTATGGTATTTTTAAGACAAGAAGTGAAAAAAATGTAAAAAGTAAAATGTTTATACAGAAAGTAAGCTTATTGAATTATAAAATCTGTTTCCAGTTTTCTGTTTTAATTATTTATTGAACAATTAAATCTTTTATGCCGGGTTTCCACACTTGCCACGCCTCGGCAAACGTCTTCAAGCCCCAAGCGTCCACAAATCTCGTTTGGCGTTTGGAAGTCGTTTTCATGCTTGTGAATGTGCCAGTGTGCTACGTAAACCCAAGCATGGCGGACACCGAACGTGTGTCGGCTATTGCGTTTCGTTTAACACACTTTTATTCGAAATACAAGCAAAGTAATACAAAAACAAGGAATTTTTGGCTTTTAATTCTTTTACTGGCTTTCCCGTTAATTCGGCAAGACGACTCCAAGCATTTGCAACTTTCTTTTTATTTTTATGATTAATGTGTTTGGGGTTCCAGATAGACGATTCGGTCTGGTAATATTCCAGAAACGATAAACTCTCTTCGTTCAACCAATCACTCATTTTAAACAAAGAACTAAACAAGCGCTCTTCGCGAAATCACAATTTCTACTAAACGCGCACCAACGTGTGAATGCGCTGCAAGCGCTTGCCGCAAGCGCCCTTTGATCTGTGTCCAAAAACCGACACTAACCCGGATCGGGGACAAGCGTCCACAAGCTCACGCAAGCCAAGCCAAACGTCCTCTTTACACACTTGTGCTTGTGGATGCTTGCCGAGACTTGGCAAGCGTGGAAACCCGGCTTAAAAGTAGAATTACGATATTATAATTGTAGAGAAGATACTGATATTACAATAAACAGTTGCGCTGATGACTCAAGGCCGCAGCAGCCGCAATAAAACAGGGTGTCCATCCAAAGTTACAGCGGTACTTCACATCGGGACAGTCTCTTATATACGAGGGTGCGTTTTTGAGTTCGCGGAATGGGGGGGAGTGGAAATAAAAATCCAAATTTATTTTTCCTTTTCAATATATTCACCTGTTACCCTAATACATCTTTCGAATTTTTCAATTAACTAATGTATATCCTCAAAAAATGATTTGTCTTTGTCTAAAAAATACGCCGAAACTGCTTCCTTCACTTTTTCATCACTTTAAAACTTTTCCCACGAAGTTCTTTTTTTAAGTTTGGAAATAGACAACAATCACCGGGGGCTAGGTCAGGACTATAGGGTGGGTGTAGCAAAATTTTGAAGCCCAGAACAGCCATCGCAACATGGCACTTGTGAATAGGCGCGTTGTCGTACAGAATAAGGATTCCTTTGGTCAATTTTCCCCTTTTTTTCTCCTTTGTGGCT